CCGCAGAGAACAGCCTGCTTCTGATACTCTCTCTGAGGCCCCCACGGGCAGGTGAGCCTATAACCACAGGCTGCGGTGCACACAGGTGTTTAAGCGACCTGGTTTCCAGGGAGCTGCCCCTCAGGAGCTGTGTGCCCCCCTGGGTGCCAGCATGGTTTTCTCTTCTTCCCCTTCCCCCCAGAGCTCAAGGAAAAACGCAACAGAATCGCAAACTCACAGATTTCTACCCTGTGCGAAGAAGCTCCAGGAAGAGCAAGGCCGAGCTGCAGGTAGAGTCCCGTGGTTTTAATTCCAGCTCTTGGGGGGGGGGGGGGGGGGGGGGGGGGCAGTGCTCAGCATGTGGACCCGAGCTTTCTGTGTGTCTCCTGGGGCAAGTCTCTGCCTCTGTGGCCTCGGTTTCCTCCAGCATCTCTTCGCCTAGTGGGGATCATCGTTACGCTCGGTCACCATAGGGCTCGGTTGAGATGCCTCTGGGAAGGGGCCTCGGAGCCTGTGGCACGTGGGCAGGGAAAGTCAGGCGTGACCCTGACGGCGGCTTTTCCAGGGCTTGCTGGCAGGGCCATTGGAGCCTGGCACCCTGGGGAAGGCCGTGCGCGCATTCAGAGGCTGGTCTGTCTGCTGCCCAGAAGGTCCCATGTCGTGTCTCGAGGTGGTCAACAGCGATGGCTTGGGAGCCACTTACTGGGTGTACCACCTCCGGACAGGAAGTTAACCGCTCTGTGCCTCGGCTGCCCTGTCTGTAAAATGGGGCAATGGAGCATCTTCGGGGGTGGCTGGGAGGGTTAATCACCTTCACACACACAGAACAGTTAGAACCAGGCCTGGCACACAGTAGGCGCTGTGCTTCCCCGGCCTTGTCGCTTCCCAAGGCTCCTCTCTGCTCTTTGCCACCCAGCCATGGCCCCTAAGTCCCTGTGAAAACCGGCAGGATGGCCAGCTGGGCTGGGGCCTCCGCCCGCTGAGTTGGCAGATGCTGAGCTGTGCGGCCGTCTAGTGGGTCAATATTTGATGCAGTGGGTGTGGTTACTGCCTTTCTGAGAAGGAAAGCCGGGCGTGCTCTGGCCCTGCAGCCCACTGGCTGCCTCCCTCACCCTCCACTCAGGGGCCCCTGAGCTGAGGAAAACTGGGAGCGGCAGCCCCCCTGCTCTCTCACCCCAAAGCAGCCGAGGGAAGAGGGCCTGTGCCCAGGATTGCCACCCCACTGAGCGGTGGGGGGGCCCCCCGGCTGCCATAGTCCCTCCAGCATTTTTCATGTTCAGTCTCTAGGTACAGAGGAAGTCATTAGTATTTTTGCTCTCTCTCTTTTTTTCTTTGAATTGATGAGGCTTCATTTAAAAGAAAAACAAAATGGGGGGTCCATTTTCCCCCCCGGAGAGAAGCTTTGGCTTGGTTTCCCGAGAAAGGCAGTGTCTTTCCGCCAAGAAGGGGCTGTTGTAAGACGTTCGCCTGCAGCGAGAGGCCGTGCTGGGTCACTGAAAGACGGCATTGCAGAGGGCAAGGCGGTGCCAGGCCCAGCTCGCAGACGCCTCCCCGCCTCCCCGTGCGGTCGGAGCTGCAGTGTGCCCACACAGGGAGGCCGCGGGCTGCAGGGTGGGGCAGCCAAGTTGGCCTTAATAAAAACAGGGGCTTGTCTATCTGGGGGAGTGAAGGCTGCAATGGGCCGGGCTGTGATGCCTGTCTGCTGAGCCGGGCACCAGGCGTGCGGAGGGGAACGGACGCTGGCTTCCCCGGAGCTTGGCCCGCAGCGGGTAGATCTGCTCGGTCACCGGACCGAGAGCCACGCGGTGTCCCTCATGTTTGCATTGGCGCTGCTGAGTGAACACCAAGGCCAGGTGGTGGCTGGCCGGGCGGTGGGCCAGGGTGGTGTCTTGCCCTGCCTGCCCTTCTGGGCAGCAGAACCCGGGGCCCAGGTGGGTGAGCCATAAGAGAGGGGTGTGGGGAGCCAGGAGTGAAACAAACTAAAAGCCTGGCAGCCACGTCATTGAGTCTGAAGACAGCGTGGGCAGGGCCAGTCCAGAGTCCAGGGCAGGAGGGTGGGAACTGGGCCTTCGAGACATGCCCCGAACCGCTCATGGCTTCGCTGTGGCTGGTTGGCCTGGCTGTGGGTGGGGTGACGGCCAGCACAGGGGCAGGGACTGCGCTGGTTGGCAGTGCCCTCCCTGGCTTCATGCCCAGCCCAGCCCTGGGCCTGCTGTGCACACGTAGCTTGCTGACTCCAGTTCAGGGATGGCTCCTCCTATTCAGTCTGCCTGGGACCCCTGTGGGCCCAGGAAGCCTCGACCTGGTGGTTTGTGTGCCCCAAACCGGCGGCCTTCAGAATGAAACTCAGTCCCCTTGGCTCTGCCTTCGGGGCATCGAGCTGGTCCCAGTTTTCCTCAGCTCGTCTCCCTGGTGCCATGTTCCCCCACGGCAGGAAAATCCCCAGTCACCTGCCCGTGTTCCTGCGAACACTCCCACTGACTCAGCCCGCTGGACCGCGTGGTGTGTGTGTGTGTGTGTGTTGTCGCTTTGAGGGCTTATTAATGTGCCAGGCACTGTTCTGGGCCAGGAGAGCCCACAGTTAACCGGCCCAGTACTCACGGAGCTTATGAAAACATAACCAAAAAGCAAGATGACTTTGGCCAGCACATGTACATGAATAAACGGAGTAGTTTGATAGTGCAGCCAGGCCAAGGCTCCGCTGGCCACAGTAGTCAGGGAAGTTTCTCCGAGGAGGTGCCTTGTGAGCAGATCCCGGGAGGAAGGGAGGAAGCCAGCCAGGTGAATGGACTGGGAAGAGGGTACTCCAGGCTGGGGGGATCAGCAAGTGCAAAGGTCCTGAGGCAGGAACAAGCCCGAGCTTCTGGAAGAGCCAGCCGCCATGGCCAGAGTGTGGAGCCAGGCGAGGACGGCCCGTGGGCTCGAGAGGCCGGGACCTGCAGAACCTCACGGGCCATCGGAAAAATGGGTTTTATCCCGGTAGCCGTGGGAAGCTACTGAAAGGCTTTTGTTTCTTTGTTTGGGGATGATTTGAGGTTTACAGAGGAGTGACAAAGATAGGACAGAGGGCTTCCATAGACCCCTTCCTCCCGGTACATTTGTCACACCAAGGACATTGCTGTGGGTGCATTACTACAGGGGTGGCTAAAGACAATCTACGGTTATTCGTTACCTGTTGTGTAATTTTCCATACGAACAACTGTATTGTACTTGGTACACTACTATTTAAAACTTTTCCTGAAGGCTTTAAGCTTTAAGGCGGTCCCAGTTAGCATTTCTAACACACCCCTGTGGATGCCCCGTGGAGAGGGGCAGGGGCCAGGGCAGAAGCAGGAGACCAGGGAGGCCAGCAAGGCGGCTGCAGCGGGGCTGGGTGAGCGCCATGTGGCTTGACCGCTAGGCAGCGGTGGGAATGGAGAGGAGCTGGGTTCCGGGCTGTCCTGGGTGTGCACGTGGGGGAGGGGGTCTTCTGAGCCCCCAGAAATCCCTCCTAAGGTGCAGACACCTGGTCTTGCTCACCACGGTGTCTCCAGCACACAACAGATGATCAGTAAATCCGTGTGGACTGAGTGACTGGGAAGGTCCCGCGTGGGCTGCAGGCAGGTTCCGCTGGCCGAGGCACTGTCCCCGGTGGGCCCTGTGTGCAGGGAGGGGCTGAGCTCCGCTGCAGGTGGCTGCTCCGCTGCCGGCACAGCTTCAGTGGGTGCTGTCCCGTGTGGTGGGCTGGGGCTGCTGGTCTGGCTCTGACAGGTCCCTGCAGCGTCTTGCGCACGGACAGACAGTGGGACCAGGAGGGGGCGGCCCTGGGGACAGGTGAGCCCGAGCACACCCTCTCCTCTCCAGCTCCTCCGTTCAGGGCGTGGACTTTGGGGTGGGAGGCCTTTCTCACCCACGCCCCGTCCGATGGGCACAGCCTCCCGTCAGCCCCAGCTGACTTTGTATCAAGTCAGAGTCCTGATTTTGGATGTCAGCGATCTAAATATTTTTCAAAACACTGCATGGCCCAAACAGAACACAGCCACACCCCGATTCTGCCTTGGGCCTTTTCTGTGTCCCTCCTGGTCCAGTGGAGCCCCAGGTGGCAAACTGTCCACACCAGATGGGCAATGAGGAAAGGATGGGGGTGCTGGGGGGCTTGGGCATCCCCGGGGACCGATGTCATGGAGGCCGACTGTGGGTGACCTTGTGGTGTGGCCCCGCTGGGTCCAGAGTGGCCTGGGAGGAAGGCTGACGCGCCCCGTGTTTTCTTCCCAGTTTGAAGAAAGGAGAAGACTAGACGAATTGATCGAAAGTGGGAAGGAAGAAGGCATGAAGGTAAGGGGGCGGCTGTGGGCTACGGTCAGAGTGACACCTCACTGATTCAGTCCTTTCGTGGTTACTGACTGGTGGCACTGTTCGTTGGTCGAGGGGCCAAATGCCAAAACCGTTGTCAAGGGTGCGACTCACGCGGAAACATAGCGGACTCTGTGAAATGTTAGCCCAAGGAAACGTTTTTAAAATTATGGTGAAACACGTATAACATAAAATGTAGGATTTTAGCCATTTCAAAGTGCACCATTAAGTGGCATTGAGTGCACTGACAGTGTTGTGCACTGATCACCCGTCCACTTCAGAACCTTTTTATCTTCTCAAACGGAACCAGAAACCCCATCCCCATTAGCAGGTGCGCCCCAGCCCCTGGCACCCACCAGTCAGCTTTCTGTCTCTGGACCTGCCTGTGCCTGACAGTCCTACAGACGGGATCGAAGAATAGGGAGCTGCTGTGTCTGGCTTCCTCCATTTAGCACCATGTCTGGGGAAACTTTTAAAAGGAGAAACGAATACATTTTTCCTTAACTCTGTTTTCCTGGGAAGTGGCAATGCCCAAGAAACTTGCTTTTCTCCTGGTAAATTTCAAACACATTTGGGTGGATGAGAGGAGAGGAACTCTGGTAGCCAGACGGGTCTGGGCTGGGATTCAGGGTCAGAAAGCTGTAGTCTCCACCCACCATCTAGGAAGATTGGGACTGAAGTCTGGGGCCCTGCAGGAGAGACTCAGAATCCTGGGTCCTCCTGCTCCCCCAAAGGGGCCAGCTGCGTGGATATGAGTCCGTGCTACACCACTTCCTAGCCACATGGCCTCGGACGTGGGTCTGCCCCCTGAGCCTCAGTTTTCTCACCCGCAAAATGGGGCAACACCCACCTAGCAGATTTCTCAGGAGACATGTGACACGGCTTTGCAAATGGGCACAAGGGAACCTCCTGGGTGATGGGTCGTGGTGATGGTTGCACCCCGGTGTACATTTTAATATACATTGAACTGAACTCCGAGGCATACCTCAAGAAAGCTGTTCACATGAAGGTACAACCCCCAGGCCTCCTGAGCCGGCCTCGCACCGTGGCATCTCTGGCTGTTACGAACTCACCCTCTCTTTCATCACCTCCCAACAGATTGACCTCATCGATGGCAAAGGCAGGGGCGTGATCGCCACCAAGCAGTTCTCCCGGGGCGATTTTGTGGTGGAATACCACGGGGACCTCATCGAGATCACCGACGCCAAGAAGCGGGAGGCTCTGTATGCGCAAGACCCCTCCACCGGCTGCTACATGTACTATTTCCAGTATTTGAGCAAAACCTACTGGTAAGTCCACAAGTGCTGCGCGTGGCAGAGAGGACGGGCCGCGCGGCCAAGGCCAGGAACACCCGATTCTGTGGCTCTGGCTTCCTGTTGAGTTCTTGCTGCCTTTTCTCAAAGCTCTGAAGCCGCTCTCCCCCACCCCCTTCCCATCTTCCAACTCTGGGTGCAGACGTGGACTGGCCACGTGAACACTGCTCCGAGGCTCACCTGCCTCCTCCTCTCAGGGCATTTGGCCAGGGCAGCTCTGGAAATTGCTGGCTGCTCCCTTCTCCAGATGGCCCGTGTACTGGATTGCTTTTTGTTGTGGGTTGTTTCTTAATAGACTGTTTTTTAGAGCAGGTTTAGGTACCAGCAAAACTGAGTGGAAGGTACAGAGAGTTCCTATACTCCCTGCCCACCCTACGCCCCCACACCCCCACACCCCCACGCACGGCCTCCGTCATTCCCAGCACCATTGACGTATTCATTTCTTGATTGTGCCGAGCTCTACAGTTGCCTCCCGAGCCTCCACAAAGAGCCCTTTGCGTTCCCGTCTCCTCCCACCCCCTGCCTGGGACACCCCACCCGGTGCCTCTCTAGGCTCTTAAGATTTTTTTTTTTAGTTGAATTGTTTTCCCAAAAGGCATGGCCATAAATTGACATCCTACCAGAGTTGAGAGCGCGTGTGACTCTGGCTGGGTTCAAAAGCCTCTTTATCAACCTAATCATCCTCTGTTGCCCTCCCTCCCCGCCAGCGTGGATGCAACTAGAGAGACAAATCGCCTGGGAAGACTGATCAATCACAGTAAATGTGGGAACTGCCAAACCAAACTGCACGACATCGACGGCGTGCCTCACCTCATCCTCATCGCCTCCCGCGACATCGAGGCGGGGGAGGAGCTCCTGTACGACTATGGGGACCGCAGCAGGGCCTCCATCGAGGCCTACCCCTGGCTGAAGCATTAACCGCCCGCCTCCCCCCTTCAGTGGACAAAGTGCCCTCAAAGGGAATTGATTTTTTTTTTTTTTACACACACACTTAATATTAGCAGATTACTTCAGATGTTTTTAAAAAGTATATTAAGATGCCTTTTCACTGTAGTATTTAAATATCTGTTACAGGTTTCCACAGTGGACTTGAACAGATGGCCTTTCTCCTCCCCGGGCTGCGTGCTTATTAACTAATGATTCCGAGTGGTGTGTGTGTGTGTGTGTGTGTGTGTGTGTGTGGACCGCGTGGTGTGTGTGTGTGTGTGTGTTGTCGCTTTGAGGGCTTATTAATGTGCCAGGCACTGTTCTGGGCCAGGAGAGCCCACGTCGCTTTGAGGGCTTACTAATGTGCCAGGCACTGTTCTGGGCCAGGAGAGCCCACAGTTAACCGGCCCAGTACTCACGGAGCTTATGAAAACATAACCAAAAAGCAAGATGACTTTGGCCAGCACATGTACATGAATAAACGGAGTAGTTTGATAGTGCAGCCAGGCCAAGGCTCCGCTGGCCACAGTAGTCAGGGAAGTTTCTCCGAGGAGGTGCCTTGTGAGCAGATCCCGGGAGGAAGGGAGGAAGCCAGCCAGGTGAATGGACTGGGAAGAGGGTACTCCAGGCTGGGGGGATCAGCAAGTGCAAAGGTCCTGAGGCAGGAACAAGCCCGAGCTTCTGGAAGAGCCAGCCGCCATGGCCAGAGTGTGGAGCCAGGCGAGGACGGCCCGTGGGCTCGAGAGGCCGGGACCTGCAGAACCTCACGGGCCATCGGAAAAATGGGTTTTATCCCGGTAGCCGTGGGAAGCTACTGAAAGGCTTTTGTTTCTTTGTTTGGGGATGATTTGAGGTTTACAGAGGAGTGACAAAGATAGGACAGAGGGCTTCCATAGACCCCTTCCTCCCGGTACATTTGTCACACCAAGGACATTGCTGTGGGTGCATTACTACAGGGGTGGCTAAAAGCAGTCTACGGTTATTCGTTACCTATTGTGTAATTTTCCATACGAACAACTGTATTGTACTTGGTACACTACTATTTAAAACTTTTCCTGAAGGCTTTAAGCTTTAAGGCGGTCCCAGTTAGCATTTCTAACACACCCCTGTGGATGCCCCGTGGAGAGGGGCAGGGGCCAGGGCAGAAGCAGGAGACCAGGGAGGCCAGCAAGGCGGCTGCAGCGGGGCTGGGTGAGCGCCATGTGGCTTGACCGCTAGGCAGCGGTGGAAATGGAGAGGAGCTGGGTTCCGGGCTGTCCTGGGTGTGCACGTGGGGGAGGGGGTCTTCTGAGCCCCCAGAAATCCCTCCTAAGGTGCAGACACCTGGTCTTGCTCACCACGGTGTCTCCAGCACACAACAGATGATCAGTAAATCCGTGTGGACTGAGTGACTGGGAAGGTCCCGCGTGGGCTGCAGGCAGGTTCCGCTGGCCGAGGCACTGTCCCCGGTGGGCCCTGTGTGCAGGGAGGGGCTGAGCTCCGCTGCAGGTGGCTGCTCCGCTGCCGGCACAGCTTCAGTGGGTGCTGTCCCGTGTGGTGGGCTGGGGCTGCTGGTCTGGCTCTGACAGGTCCCTGCAGCGTCTTGCGCACGGACAGACAGTGGGACCAGGAGGGGGCGGCCCTGGGGACAGGTGAGCCCGAGCACACCCTCTCCTCTCCAGCTCCTCCGTTCAGGGCGTGGACTTTGGGGTGGGAGGCCTTTCTCACCCACGCCCCGTCCGATGGGCACAGCCTCCCGTCAGCCCCAGCTGACTTTGTATCAAGTCAGAGTCCTGATTTTGGATGTCAGCGATCTAAATATTTTTCAAAACACTGCATGGCCCAAACAGAACACAGCCACACCCCGATTCTGCCTTGGGCCTTTTCTGTGTCCCTCCTGGTCCAGTGGAGCCCCAGGTGGCAAACTGTCCACACCAGATGGGCAATGAGGAAAGGATGGGGGTGCTGGGGGGCTTGGGCATCCCCGGGGACCGATGTCATGGAGGCCGACTGTGGGTGACCTTGTGGTGTGGCCCCGCTGGGTCCAGAGTGGCCTGGGAGGAAGGCTGACGCGCCCCGTGTTTTCTTCCCAGTTTGAAGAAAGGAGAAGACTAGACGAATTGATCGAAAGTGGGAAGGAAGAAGGCATGAAGGTAAGGGGGCGGCTGTGGGCTACGGTCAGAGTGACACCTCACTGATTCAGTCCTTTCGTGGTTACTGACTGGTGGCACTGTTCGTTGGTCGAGGGGCCAAATGCCAAAACCGTTGTCAAGGGTGCGACTCACGCGGAAACATAGCGGACTCTGTGAAATGTTAGCCCAAGGAAACGTTTTTAAAATTATGGTGAAACACGTATAACATAAAATGTAGGATTTTAGCCATTTCAAAGTGCACCATTAAGTGGCATTGAGTGCACTGACAGTGTTGTGCACTGATCACCCGTCCACTTCAGAACCTTTTTATCTTCTCAAACGGAACCAGAAACCCCATCCCCATTAGCAGGTGCGCCCCAGCCCCTGGCACCCACCAGTCAGCTTTCTGTCTCTGGACCTGCCTGTGCCTGACAGTCCTACAGACGGGATCGAAGAATAGGGAGCTGCTGTGTCTGGCTTCCTCCATTTAGCACCATGTCTGGGGAAACTTTTAAAAGGAGAAACGAATACATTTTTCCTTAACTCTGTTTTCCTGGGAAGTGGCAATGCCCAAGAAACTTGCTTTTCTCCTGGTAAATTTCAAACACATTTGGGTGGATGAGAGGAGAGGAACTCTGGTAGCCAGACGGGTCTGGGCTGGGATTCAGGGTCAGAAAGCTGTAGTCTCCACCCACCATCTAGGAAGATTGGGACTGAAGTCTGGGGCCCTGCAGGAGAGACTCAGAATCCTGGGTCCTCCTGCTCCCCCAAAGGGGCCAGCTGCGTGGATATGAGTCCGTGCTACACCACTTCCTAGCCACATGGCCTCGGACGTGGGTCTGCCCCCTGAGCCTCAGTTTTCTCACCCGCAAAATGGGGCAACACCCACCTAGCAGATTTCTCAGGAGACATGTGACACGGCTTTGCAAATGGGCACAAGGGAACCTCCTGGGTGAGTCGTGGTGGTGATAGTTGCACCCCGGTGTACATTTTAATATACATTGAACTGAACTCCGAGGCACACCTCAAGAAAGCTGTTCAAATGAAGGTACAACCCCCAGGCCTCCTGAGCCGGCCTCGCACCGTGGCATCTCTGGCTGTTACGAACTCACCCTCTCTTTCATCACCTCCCAACAGATTGACCTCATCGATGGCAAAGGCAGGGGCGTGATCGCCACCAAGCAGTTCTCCCGGGGCGATTTTGTGGTGGAATACCACGGGGACCTCATCGAGATCACCGACGCCAAGAAGCGGGAGGCTCTGTATGCGCAAGACCCCTCCACCGGCTGCTACATGTACTATTTCCAGTATTTGAGCAAAACCTACTGGTAAGTCCACAAGTGCTGCGCGTGGCAGAGAGGACGGGCCGCGCGGCCAAGGCCAGGAACACCCGATTCTGTGGCTCTGGCTTCCTGTTGAGTTCTTGCTGCCTTTTCTCAAAGCTCTGAAGCCGCTCTCCCCCACCCCCTTCCCATCTTCCAACTCTGGGTGCAGACGTGGACTGGCCACGTGAACACTGCTCCGAGGCTCACCTGCCTCCTCCTCTCAGGGCATTTGGCCAGGGCAGCTCTGGAAATTGCTGGCTGCTCCGTTCTCCAGATGGCCCGTGTACTGGATTGCTTTTTGTTGTGGGTTGTTTCTTAATAGACTGTTTTTTAGAGCAGGTTTAGGTACCAGCAAAACTGAGTGGAAGGTACAGAGAGTTCCTATACTCCCTGCCCACCCTACGCCCCCACACCCCCACACCCCCACGCACGGCCTCCGTCATTCCCAGCACCATTGACGTATTCATTTCTTGATTGTGCCGAGCTCTACAGTTGCCTCCCGAGCCTCCACAAAGAGCCCTTTGCGTTCCCGTCTCCTCCCACCCCCTGCCTGGGACACCCCACCCGGTGCCTCTCTAGGCTCTTAAGATTTTTTTTTTTAGTTGAATTGTTTTCCCAAAAGGCATGGCCATAAATTGACATCCTACCAGAGTTGAGAGCGCGTGTGACTCTGGCTGGGTTCAAAAGCCTCTTTATCAACCTAATCATCCTCTGTTGCCCTCCCTCCCCGCCAGCGTGGATGCAACTAGAGAGACAAATCGCCTGGGAAGACTGATCAATCACAGTAAATGTGGGAACTGCCAAACCAAACTGCACGACATCGACGGCGTGCCTCACCTCATCCTCATCGCCTCCCGCGACATCGAGGCGGGGGAGGAGCTCCTGTACGACTATGGGGACCGCAGCAGGGCCTCCATCGAGGCCTACCCCTGGCTGAAGCATTAACCGCCCGCCTCCCCCCTTCAGTGGACAAAGTGCCCTCAAAGGGAATTGATTTTTTTTTTTTTTACACACACACTTAATATTAGCAGATTACTTCAGATGTTTTTAAAAAGTATATTAAGATGCCTTTTCACTGTAGTATTTAAATATCTGTTACAGGTTTCCACAGTGGACTTGAACAGATGGCCTTATATTACCAAAACTTTTATATTCTAGTTGTTTTTGTACCTTTTTTGCATACAAGCCGAACGTTTGTGCTTCCCGCGCTCGCTCGCGTGCATGCAGTCAGGCTCGGCGCAGGTTTCAGAGGAGAGAGTCTTCGAACACGAACCAGGAAGTGGGGGGCTGCGGAGCCCGGACTCTTCCCCGCACCCCGACATCCGAGCGCGCACCCCGATGTACGAGCAGCACGGGGCGGCCAAGAAGACGCCTGCCGCCTCCCGACGGCCCCCACGGGATGTTCCCAAGCTCTTGTTTTCCTGCCGTCTGGACAGGCGCACACGGAAGTGTATGAATCTTTTTTAAAGGGTTTCGCAGTAAGTTCGTCTTCCCCTCTGCTTTCTTGAAAGCTTGCTGACCCGGTGGCCCGTGGGCAGGGGCCAGGCCGAGGTTTCCTCTTCCACGGGCGTCCGGGCGCCTCGCAGCGTCAGGGCGGGGAATCAGCAGAAGCGGGCAGGGAAAAGCATTGCTCAGCTGGCCCGCCAGGGCAGCGCTTCCCGAAACTGGGGCAATTCTTTATAGAAATGTGAACACTGAATTTATTTTAAAAAAATAATAAAAATCAAAAAAACACAAAAGGCAAAAAAAAAAGAGAGAGAAAAACCACAGAAAACAACTTACATGTACATAGGTCATAAAGTGAGTGGAGTGGCTGCGTTTTTTTCTTTTTCTTTTTTTTTTTCCTTTTACTTTGGGTTTGGTTTTTTTGTTTGTTTTTTATAGAAGAGATTTGAGATGGTACTCTATTCTAATAAAAAATAAAGTTTTGTAGTGGGACCAGAAATTACTTATCCAATCCTCCCCCCACCAAATAGCCACCCTCACCCCCACCCTGACCCGATTCTGCTGGGTTGAAAGGTCCAGACCTGCTGTCATGCTGTTTGTCAGACCACCTGGTGTTCTTCCTGCGACACGCAGACCGCGCAGCCGCGAACCAAGGGTGAGCCCACGAGCCCTGGAGTGCAGGCCCCACCCCAAGGGGAGGGGGCAGGTGCAGCACCCAGGGATCAAGGCTAAGGGTACAGTTTTCACCTCGACTGTGATGATTGTGACGGCAGGAGGTGTAGGTAGCTGCCCCCTCCCTCCCGAAGGGGGACTGATTCTCACTCTCTCCACCTGCGGTCCAGGGGGCCCGGCTCTGGAACCACCACCTGGGGTCTCCGGACCCCCTGGTCCCAGGTAAATGTGAATGGAGACAGGTGTGAGAGCCTGTCCTCAACCTTGGTGCCCCCCAGCCCCCACCCCGCGCACCCCAGCCTCACGACGGTGCTACCTAGGAAAGTCTTCCCCCCGCCCCACACTTGCCTGGTCAGTGGTCAGCCAATTGGAGGAGGATCCGACGGAGCGTGTCAATGTGAAGTAAAATGTCTCGGTTGTACCTGTTTGTGGTTTAGCTTTGTATTTAAAAAACAAAAGGAAATAAACTTGAAAATTATTTGTCATCATAAAAATGAAACAAAAATTAAAATATTTATTGCCAGGCGAGGCCACCTGTGTGTCTGTTTCTTACGAGGGGAGGTAGGAGCGGAGGGGTGGGTTTTCGGGGTTTTGTGGGAGGGTCACTCCCCCCTCAGGCGTCAGTTTCAGTGCCTGTCCCCCTGCGGGGCAGCTGCTTCGTTTGTAGAAGGGTCATGGGAGCCTGGAGATTAGTTTGTGCATGTTGGGCCCTTACAGTGACGGTGCCTGGCTCGCCGTGAGCACAGACTTGAGCCTGTGATTGTCACTCGTTTCTGAGATCCTCGGTTTGATGTCAGGGACCAGCCGCGCCTGCCTCGTGCTGCAAGTCCCTCCTGCCAGCCCTCGATGGGTTGTTGGTTCGAGTAGCAGAGTGGGACTGTGGGTAGTGTCCTTGGTTTACAAGCAGAACTCCGCTTCCAGCACCGCCTTGGAGAGGTAGTCAGCCGGTCCCCTTGGACAGATCCCGCACTCGCTCGGAAGCTTGTCTGAGTGGGAACCGCCCCTGCCTGCCTGCTCTGCAGGGTGTCCTGGGGGTCCACTCCATGGACTGTTACAGCCTCGGCTTGGAGGTCAGCTGTGCAGTGGGGGCTTGGGGATGTCAGGCTTGTGGAGGATGGATCTCGGCTGGACTCCACTCAGTCCCAGGAGCCGCCCCTCCCCCCTCTCCTCTGCTCTCGCTGTCCCTTGGTCTGGCCCAGGTGGTTCTGAAGTCAGGACTCAGATCTGTTTCCCAAGTTGGCCCTCACCCCGAGGTGCAGGGATCCCCCCACCACTAAGAGGGGAGAACCCAGTCAGGGTGGCGGTGTCATACGGAGTTGGGGCCCTGACCTGAGCGTGCTGAGATGGCGTTCTCGACCAGACTCGTAAACGTTGCTGACTTTTCTCAGGAAGCCAAGGGGTTGGGGCCTGGGCTGGGAAGTCTGCACCTGGGCTCAAGCCCCTTTTCCACCACTTTAGGGCTGGGATCTTGGACAAATCCCTTAGCCCCACAGTGCTGGGACCCAGGGGTACCATGGGAATAACTACCCGGCCCGCAGGGGTACTCAAACGGCACAGGCAAGGCCTGCCATGAATTGCGTTCATGGTTAACGTTCGTGATTTTTGGAGAACTGGGCTTGCACAGCTCCACGGATAAGAACCAGGCCTTAGGCATTTACATCCTGGGCAGCCGCCTCCCAGCTACGTGACCTGTGGCCTACTTTAGCCTTTCGGAATCTCAGTTTCCAGTTCTGTAAATGGGGTGGGGGGTGAGTACCAGCCCCCGTGTCCCCGACTTGTTACAGAATGAAGAAGGTCCCTGCAGCAGAGCGCCGCGGCCTTTACTGAGGACACAGGCTCCCCCGGCTCGTCAGTTTCTTCGCAAAGTGCAGGCACCCACTGTCTGTCTACTGTATTTCGTCAATTCCTAAATGTACATCTTGTTCACATTTAACATCTCTGAAATCAGAATGAGCCTTAAAGTCAACAGTGTCTTAATGTTATAATTTGTAACATTTTTTCTCTCACACTGACACACAAAATAATGGCACATCACTTAGACTCAACGCACCAAAGATACGCCAGCTCTCCGTACACACATAGTTCACAGACGTGGAAACCGAGACCTGAAAGGTCACACGAGCTGAGAGACAACTCTAAAATACTTAAAGAAGGGAAGTCCTTTACTTTAATACGAAAATCTCCTCGTAAAGAAAGTCATGTTAGCAAAGTCAGACAGTCACTAAATATCAGTGAAGTCCCCGGAAGGTCGATAACCACACTTTCCGGCTTTCTCCCCTCTCCCTTTGGGCTGGTGCCTGGCTGCTAGGGCTGCCACACAGTGAAGAGCAAGGTCAAGTGGTGAAGAGCAAGGTCAAGTGTGGGGCCAGAGAGGCAGAGCCCCGAGATCCCTCGACGGCTGACGTGGGCAGGTGGTGGCCCCCGTGCACTTTGCTTCTGCTTTCGTTTTTTTATTTTCTGTTGGTTTTTCTTTTCCTTCTGCTTTTTTTTTTTTCTTTTCCTTCTGCTTTCTTGATTTCTGGGTGCCACTTGCCCTGCCCTGGCCAAGCCTTCGGGGGTGTCCAGTTCTGCAGCCGGGGAGACAGTGATCGAGAGAGAACCTCACCTCCTCGCTCCTCGGACGGCGCTGAGGGGAAACACATGAGCGAGTACAGTGGGTCAGCGTGGCACTGAGCAGACTGGGAAGTCTTCCTGGTGGGTTGTCTTCTAGAATCTGAGAACCGCCGCCTCCGATCTATGTCTGCTTCCCAGATCGGAAGGAGAACCTGGGTGGGGAGAGAGAGGGGTCAGAGGGAACAGACAAACAAGGCAGGGGCACAGGACCCGCCGCTGAACCCCCGGAAGCAGGCCTTGGACTCAAACATGTACTCAGGGCTCATGATGAACAGGCTCCGACTGGGGGCTTTTCATCCAAAAGCTCATTTCACACTCAACAATTTGAGGAGGTGAGCACAACCAATATCCCCATGTTATGTTTATTTATTTATTTTAAAATATCTTTTTATTGATTTCAGAGAAGAAGGGAGAGGGAGACAACAGCAATAGAAACATCAATGATGAGAATCACTGATGGGCTGCCTCTGCACGTTCCCTATTAGGGATCGAGCCCGCAACCTGGGCATATGCCCTTGACTGGAATCGAACCCGGGACCCTTCAGTCCGCAGGCCAATGCTCTATCCACTGAGCCAAACCGGCTAGGTCATCCCCATTTTATAGATGAGCAAACCGAGGCTTTATGAGGTCAAGTCACAGGTCCGAGGTCACACAGAAAGTTGCGAGCCCAGGGCCCACTAACCACTGCACTATACTAACAGATGGACTCTGCCACCTTTTTTTTAATTTTAGGTGGTTTTATTGCAGAGGAAGCAATAGCTTCTCAATGCTACCTACAACTGTAAAACGGATCTTGGCAACAACAACAAAAAAAATAGAGATTAGCATGTGAATTCTTAGATAAGACATAAATCATACAAAGCTATCTGAATACCAAACTTTCAGTGTTTTCCTGCAAAGTTTGGAAAAGGAACAATGATGTCTGGGGTTGATCGGAAAGTACAATCTCGGCGCTATTTCCAGTTATGAGAACGAAGCAAAGATCGCCGGGGTTGGGGGTTGCAGCGGGGTGGGAGGCTGAGAAGTCAGGATGGGATCGAGGCTCTTGCTTCTGATCAAAGAAGAACTCCCTGAGTGCTGCTGGCAGCCCTGCCAGCAATGGCTGGTGTGAGCCCTGAGCTGGTTTGGATCCAGGCCCTAGTGCTCTGCCATCCTCCCCTCCTCCACCCCAGTGCCCTCTCTCAGGAAGTGACATCAATCCTGCCCAGTCATCCGAGCCAGGAACCTGGGAGTTGTTCTCAAGTCCTCCCCCCACCCCCATCTGCTACATCTTAGTCATCAGTCATCATGCCCCAAATATATCCCTAATCCCACCACGTTCATCTCCCCCCTCGCCACCCCCAGTCCAGACTTCAACAGCCTCCCTGTCGCCCCCTACAATCCACGCGTAGCAACCAAAGGTCCCTGTCACTATGTAGAGCTGTCTTCCCCAGCTTCAGCCCTCCCATGGCTCCCCATCGGCTCTATCCACCGAACAAAGAGAAAAATCCAAATACTGTGTGATTCCACTTAGATGAGGTGCCTAGGCTAGTTAAATTCATAGGATCAGAAAGTAGAATGGCCGGCCAGTGTGGCTCAGTGGTTGAGCATCGACCCAGGAACCAAGAGGTAGCCGGTTAATTCACGGTCAGGGCACATGCCCGGTTGGAGGCTCGAGCCCCAGTAGAGGCTGTGCAGGAGGCAGCCAATCAATGATGTTCCTCTCTCATTGATGTTTCTATTTCTCTATCCCTCTCCCGTCCTCTCTCTCTCTCTCAAAATCAATAAAAAGAAAAAGAAAGTAGAATGGTGGTTGCCAGGGGCTGGAAGAAGGATGAATTGAGACGTTAGTGTTTAATGAGCCCAGAATTTCAGGATGGGATGATGAAAAAATTCTGGGAATGGGTAATGGTGATGGTTGCACAACAATGTAAATGTACTCACTATGACTAAAGTGTACACGTACAGATAGTTAAATCATAAACTTTATGTTATGTATATTTTGTCATGATTGAAAAAAATTTAAATCACGTGGACTCAGTTCTTCGTCAAAGACAAAGGATCTTACCGTGTACTGGCTAAAGCCCCGATACCCGATATGGTGGCCACTAGCTACACGTCCCAAGAGCCCCTGACGCACGGCTGATCTTACTGAAATGTGCTGCAAGTGTAAAATATCCATCAGATTTCGAGGGCTCATATATATTTTTAAATTTCATTTGTTGATTTTAGAGAGAGGAAGGTGAGAGAGAGAGAAGCATCAATTGGTTGCCTCCCACAGGCACCCCGAGGAGTGTCAGGGATGCACCCAGGTACCTGCCCTTGACCAGGAATCGAACCTGAGCTCCTTTGGTCCTCAGGCTGACTCTCTAACCACTGAGAACACTGGCCAGGGCTGGAACGGAATTTTCTTATTGGCTACAGCACTACCACCGGGAGACTAGCACCTCCCCACCCGGGGCAGCCGGCCAGCCTCCCTTCGCCCCTTCGCCCCCACTCCGTCCGCCACTCATTCAGTGGCAGCAGCGGGCAGCAAGGTGACTCACAACTTCCTTATGATGGTCTTCTCCTCCTTGTCTCTGCTGGCGTTGCTGGCCCTGGCAACCATAGTGTCCTTTCCTCTTCTCCCTTCGGGGCCTTCTCTTGCTGGAATCAGGCCACTGGAGAAAGGGGGGCAGACAAATGGGGTGTTTTATTGCAGACCTCTTATTTGTGCAGTCCTGAAAGTGAAGAATCTTTTTTTTTTTAATATATTTTATTGATCTTTCACAGAGAGGAAGGGAGAGGGATAGAGAGTTAGAAACATCGATGAGAGAGAAACATCAATCAGCTGCCTCCTGCACACCCCCTACTGGGGATGTGCCCACAACCAAGGTACATGCCCTTGGCCGGAATCGAACCTGGGACCTTTCAGTCCACAGGCCAATGCTCTATCCACTGAGCCAAACCGGTTAGGGCTGAAAGTGAAGAATCTTAATCATTATTATAACATTAATAATTTCAGCACGGAAAGCTCTGGAGTCAGAAACTTTTCTCTCCACATGAGACTCTTCTCTCCACGTTTCCAATGCTGAAACCTCTTCTTTCCTTCTCTTGTCTGATTACATTGGCTACCAGTTCAAGCTTCTCCGCTTTGTAGGAGTATGACCATGTGTAAATTCTTTAACTTAGGCCTTGATTTCCTAAATGGTAAAATGAGGATAACAGAAGTGCCTACCTCCAAGGATTGAGGGATTAAGTGAGACAATAATACATGGCACTCATTCAACAAATATTTATTAAGCGACGTACTGTGCCATGGTGCAATGCACAGCAATGAACAAAACAGAAAATATCTTCTCTCATGCAAGTTACATTCCAGTGGGGAAGGAAATCGTCAGTAAAAAAATAAATAAAATAAAAAATATATATAGTAAGTCGGATGATGGTACAGAGCTAGATTGATAGTGACTGAGAAGCTATGGGGGTCAGGTGATCCCAGGAGGGACTTGATGGGCAGAAGTTGGAAGAAGACTGTTCTGCCAGCAGTCATGCTTCCTAGGATTCAGAGAAGGGCTGTCCGTATGCAAGATAATGAGGACAAACAAAGAGAAGCAAAGAGGAAAGAAAGAGGCACCGAGTCCCTGGTGCCCACCCCGAGGCCTTCGTTGCAGTTTTTTCTTTATTTCTGAGAGCAATTCCAGGATCCTTCCCAGCTACGTGGGCCAATCAATTGTGAGAAGAGACACCAGAGGGCTGTGCACGCGCTCTCTCTCTCTCTCTCTCTCTCTCTCTCTCTCTCTGAGGACACAGCCGGAAGGAAGTTGCCTAGGAGTCAGGAAATGTCAGCACCAACCATACTGGCACCTGGATCTGGGACTTGTAGCCTCCGGAACCGTGAGATAAGACACTTCTATTGCGGAAGCCCCCAGTCTAGGATATTTTGTTACGACAGCCTGAGCTGACTGAGACGCCCCTTTACATATGAACTTCGGAAAGCAGAACCCACCCTTCTCTCTCCGTTGCAAAGAGTAGATTCTTATTAGTTACTGTAATATTATTATATTTTTATTATAATATTAATATTTCATAAGAGGCATCATCTAAAAATTTCCCCTTTCCACTATCTATTGTTATTTGACGCCCTGAAACTTAGATTTACAACAGGGTGGCTTATGAGTCTCAGGATGGCTGTTCTGCTTAGGGTTGGCCTGGTGGCTCTCAAGCAGCTGCATGAATTGGTGGATGAGCTGGGGGGTGGGCACAGCTGGGGCTGTCGGCTGGGGCACTTTGGTTCTCCTTCATGTGACCTCTCCTTGTGACTGCCTTGACTTCTTCACAGCATGGCGGTCTCAAGGCAGCATTACAAGAGCATAAAACATGGAAGCCTGGAGGTCTCTTAGATCCTTAAGCCAAATGGCACGTTCCACTGACCAGAGCAAGTCCTGGGCCACCCTGATTCAAGGGGAGGGAAGTTTCTACCACTTGGTGAGAGGAGAGGAAAAGTCTCCTTGCAAAAAGCATGCGCGATGGGGACAACAGTTGTGGCCACCTATAGAAATAGCCTACCATAGCTGCCTTCAATCTAAAATGATCTTTAGGCCTGGCCAGCGTGGCTCAGTGGTTGAGCGTCATCCTACGGACTAGGAGGTCAGGGTTTGATTCCCGATCAGGGCACATGCCCTGGTTGTGAGCTCCATCCCCAGTGGGGGCATGCAGGACGCAACTGATCAATGATTCTCTCTCATTATTGATGTTTCTATCTCTGTCTCCCTCTCCCTTCCTCTCTGAAATCAATAAAAATATATTTTAAAAAATATAATGATCGTTAGTATGAGCTTAGGCCTCCAGATGCCACTGCTAAGAGAACACCTCAGTTGACAGGCTCGTTTCTCCAGGACAGAGAGCGCGAGAGACCAAGCCGACCCTGCTGTCTCGGCCTGCACCAGATGGGAAGGGCACACCTGCTGTTTGCTGGGAATTCAACACTGGAAACAAAGGGTGTTGCTTTATTCCCTCACAAGCTGCCAGTCTGGCGGCTCCTGGCTTTAACTACCTGTGTCTGAAATACTTATCAAATGAGACAAAGACAGGTCTTTCCATGAACATGGTTCCAACCTCGGCAGAAGGCAGACAATGAAACGTCTGTTGACAGAACTCAGCCCTTTTGGATTTGGCTTCCTAGAACGTTTTTGCTTTGCCACTGCTGTCTTCATGATGCTCGAGGAAAGAACGGAAAGAATAACATCACTCGGGGCTTTGTCTGGAATCAGGATCCGCCCTGCCTTCCAAACGTGCAGGGTCCAAAGGTGGCCTGACAGGAAACATGCAGGCTGTGAGCTCGGGCTGCCTGAGGACACGCCTCACTGTTGCCACCAGCAGCCGTGGGCTTCCAGCAGGTACTTGACTACACAGGCCTGCGGTGAGCACTGGATGAAATGATGCCTGGGACACACTCAGCCGAGCGCTGACCCGTGGCAAGCACTGCTAACCATGAGCGGGTTCTGCGTTTTTATTCGCTTGCTCTTACCCTCTTCTGCCTCTAAAGAAACCCACCTGTGTAACTCAGTGTTTCCGAGAGTCATGCAACCACACAGCCACCGCCCCCTTTTCAAGAAACACCAACATGAAAGACAACATTTTGGGGGACAGAGGCTCAGGTGGATATAGCAAAGTCCAACCCTGATAGGTCAACAATTTCCTTATTTCCTCTTTCCCTTGTCCTATAGCAGTAATGGCGAACCTTTTGAGCTCGGCGTGTCAGCATTTTGAAAAACCCTAACTTAACTCTGGTGCCGTGTCACATATAGAAATTTTTTGATATTTGGAACCATAGTAAAACAAAGACTTATATTTTTGATATTTATTTTATATATTTAATGAGTTCGCATGTCACCACTGACACGCGTGTCATAGGTTCGCCATCACTGTCCTATAGTCCCTCCGTTCACATATTATTGTGATCTTTTATAACTTTAGATTTTTAGATAATTTAAAACTTAGAGAAAAGTTGTAAGATTAGTAAAAAAAAGGCTTCCCAAATACTTTATCCCAGATCCCCCAATTATTTATGTTTATCCCATCTTACCTTTTTAAATCTTATTTTATCTTATCTTTCCATCCAACCACCCACCGATCCACCTACCTACCCCACCCTTCATGCATCTACTTTCTTTCTGAACCACTTGAGAGTAAGTTGGAGACATCTTACTTCTTTATTCCTAAAGAATTCAGTGTAGCCCTGACCGGTTTGGCTCAGTGGATAGAGCGTCGGCCTGCGGACTGAAGGGTCCCAGGTTTGATTCCAGTCAAGGGCATGTTTCTTGGTTGCAGGCACATCCCCAGCAGGGGGTGTGCGGGAGGGAGCTGATTGATGTTTCTCTCTCATCGATGTTTCTAAATTCTCTATCCCTCTCCCTTCCTCTCTGTAAAAAAATCAATAAAATACGTTTAAAAGAAAAAAAGTAATTCAGTGTATACTTCCAAAGGGCAATGATATCCTCTCATAACCAAATAGTTCAGTTATCAAAATCACCTCATTGATCCTTTAAATGGATCTTGTTATTCCCTCGATTAAACCTTCCCTGCTTACAATAAAGTCAGAGCTCTTGCCTGTGGTGGACAAGGCACCACTCGCCAGTCTCTTCCAGACCACCCTCCCCTGCGTTTCAGGTTCCCCTCTGCTGGGTCTCTTTAACTGGACATGCTGGTTCCCACTTCTTGTCTTTGAACTTCTCTGAACTTCTTGCTCCATTCTGGTCCTACCGAATCTATACATGGTTGTCTGCTTCCTGTCCTTCACCTGAGAGGGGTTGTCCCTAACTACTCAATTTGAAACAAGTTCCTCCCTGCCCTGCCTGTGTGACACTGTGGTTGAGTATTGACCTATGAACCAGGAGGCCACGGTTCTCTTCCAGGTCAGGGCACACATGCCTGGGTTGTGGGCTTGAACCCCAGTGTGGGACATGCAGGAGGCAGCCAGTCAATGATTCTCTCTCATCATTAATGTTTCTATCTCTCTCCCTCTTCCTTCCTCTCAAATCAATAAAAAAATATTTTAAAAATAATAAACACATAAATAAATACATAAATAAATAAATAAAACAAGTCCCTCCCCGCAAACTCCCTTAGCACTTGGGTCTCGGTCACACCCCCTGCTTTTATCTTCTTTAGAGCACTGATACCATGACCCTGAGTGCTTACTTCAGACTTCGTTGCTGCCTACCTGTCTCCCTAGATGAGCATGCACTTACTCCGTCTGGGTCACGGCTACACCCCCACCGCCGGGCATCATGGGGCTCGGATAAGTTGGTTGAATGGACATGGGAGCCAATACGGGATGTATAAAGGCGCCCTCGCGGGCGGCAGAGCCCACCTCTTGTAGCACTGCAGCTCCTCCTGCGCCAGCAGCAGCTGCGCCTTGAGCTTGTTGCGCTCCTGCAGCACGTCCCTCAGCTCCTGCAGAGTGAAGCGCGGCCGGTTGGGGTCGGTCAGGTCAACCACCATCTTGCCTGGTCCCAGGCTTCCCTGGAAGAAAAGATGTCACTGATGCAGTTTCCCTCAAGAGGATGAGCTGTCCACCCCAGAAAGCAATGTTCTCTGGTTTGGTTACTCCCGGGGCCCTAACGAGAGGAGGTGTTGCCTGTTGGGAGTGTTTGGCTGGCAGTAAAGAAGCGAAAGCACCCTTCTCCAAGAAAAGTGCCAGGGCTCCTTTGGCTCAGTGGATAGAGCATCGGCCCGTGGACTGAAGGGTCTCGGGTTTGATTCCGGTCAAAGGCATGTCCCTTGGTTGCAGGCTTGCACCCGGCCCAGGTCAGGGCACATATGGGAGGCAACCAATCTCACATCCATGTTTCTCTCTCTCTCTCTCTCTCAGCATGTCATCCGGTGAGGATTTAAAAAACAGGAAGAAAATTGTGACACATGGATGAACCTTAAAGACATTATGCTAAGTGAAAGAAGCCAGTCACAAAAGAACAAATATTATATGAGTCTACTTACAGGAAGTACCTAAAATAGGCAAATTCATAGATGTAGAAAGTAGAACAGTAGCTACCAGAAGCTGGGGGGAGGGAGAAATGGGGAGTTGTTGTTTCATGAGCACAGTTTCAGTTTTGCAAGATGAAGAGATCTGGAGAGGATGGTGGTGATGGTTGCACAACCATGTGAATGCACTTAATGCTACTGATTTTTAAAAGGGTTAAAGCGGTGAATTTTATGTGTACACGATCACAATTAAAATAATAATTTAGAAAAGTAAATGAAAAAATAAGGCCTATTTGTATGAACTGTTTAATGGAACTAAACATTCATTCTCTCTGCCTTCTCCCCACCCCCTGTTCTGAAGTCTGTGGTTTGGGAGGAAAATGTGCCATCTCATCTGCTGGCTGATGAAGCCTGTCCGCTGTGCCCCTATGGGAAGTCACACTGTTCACAGTCCCTGGTGGGGCCTCCTCCATGTCCTTGTGCCTGGAGTTGAAGGTGATGGGAAGAGGGCACAGGGCATGAGCTGTGATGCTGGGTGAGTCACTGAACTGCTCTGGAGTCTCAAAAGCCAGGCTGCTCATCATGATATTCAACCACCTCCTATGAGGATACAAAAGTAGAGCCTTGCCCTAGCCCAGTGGTTGGCAAACTGCGGCTCGCAAGCCACATGCAGCTCTTTGGCCCCTTGAGTGTGGCTCTTCCACAAAATACCGACTTCTGCGCATGGGCCACGAAGTTTCAAACGCACTGTACGTGCACGCCCGCACATGGTATTTTGTGGAAGAGCCACACTCAAGGGGCCAAAGAGCTGCATGTGGCTTGCGAGCCACAGTTTGCCGACCACTGGCTAGTCAGTGATGGCGAACCTTTTGAGCTCGGCGTGTCAGCATTTTAAAAAACCCTAACTTAACTCTGGTGCCGTGTCACATATAGAAATTTTTTGATATTTGCAACCATAGTAAAACAAAGAAATATTTTTGATATTTATTTTGGTTGCAGGCTCCTCCCCACCCAGGCCCTGTTCGGAGCTCGTGCAGGAAGCAACCAATCGATGTGCTTCTCTCACATCGATGTTTCTCTTTGTCTTTTCCTCTCTCTTCTACTCTCCCTAAAAATCAATGGAAAAATATCTTCAAGTGAGGATTAACAAAAACAAATACATATATATATAT